AGATGAGCTGCCCTCTCTGCGTTGGTAGCGATATGGTCCAGGGATCGCTTATCTGCGGTCAGTGTAGATACCTCGGACTGTGTAGATAACTGCGCTGAAGTTACCGTTGCTGAGGCCTGCTTCTTCTTGGGGCGATGTATCTCCGGGATGATGAGCGGCTGCTCATCATAGAGACCTCTTTCCTCCATCGGGACAATCTCGGCCGAGAAAGTCCTAGTTGTCTGCACAGACGTCCCCTTAGAGCTGCTCACCGTCTTAGGTAGTGGATTTTGCTTTCCGTAAAAACGAGGGGAGAGCTGAGCGCGATGTTAATGATCCAGTCAATTCGAGAGGGCACGAGGCCCATTTATTGTCGTCGGTGAACATGAAAGTGTATGGCGTGTTTTGAGCAAAGACCGTGGTCTTGACATCGTTCAGATCGAACTGTTTGCCGTCGAAGGCCCTGGATATCGTCCACTCGTCTTCTTCGTTGCGGACGAGGTTGTACCGCTCGTTGTTGACCGCTCCTTCGGTGTCGATGAAATCGCTAAGGGCGCTGATGCGGTTGCCGGATCCGCTGCTGCCTTTGGCAGCGGGCACTTCAGCGCGTTTGTAAATGTTGTTTTTCAGTTGCAATGCATACAGGTTGCCCTCAATTCCGGGCTCGTCGAATCCGCATGTGTCTCCAGGGTCGGAGAGCGCGATGGTATGACATTTTCTCAGTCGCATGGTTGTTCCCGGACCCGAAGCTTTGGTCATTGTCACGCTCAGGTATCCTATATTGACTGGATTATGTTTAATATCTAAAACCAATATTTTTAATTCCGTGATGGTGCCTTGCCTTAATTTCTTGTACTGCCGACGACAAAAACGAGGATGGCCTCTTCTTCTTCGTCTGCAATGAAGGGATGTCCGAAGGGGCAGCCCTCTTCTGCGAGTGGCGAACAACGTCCCACGCCCATCCTCCGAGGACATCTCCGGCAGATCACAGGGAGGAAGAGGGTCGTCTGACAGCAGCTGACACGCGAGGGACTCAGCCGGCTTATCCATAACTTGAAAAAGACGCCTGGGCTTGTCTTTAGCATGCCTAAGTACGCAGAAAATATATTTATTAAATTCAATATTGGTTAAATGCTGACAAAGGTTGCAGCGAGAGCTGAAAGTACATGGTGTTGTGCAGCTAGGGCACAATAAATGCGGGTCTGCAGCAGAGAATCGGAACCTACAACGAAAACAGGTTTTCATGAAATGTAAACACTGAACAATCACGGACGAAACCGTGAATAAACAGTGAAAAATACGAATAAATTTCAAACCATAATGTTGAAGGATACTCCCTATACCCCTATAAAGGTAATGTATAGGGTAATAACTAATAAAATAAAAGGATATAGTGCCATATAGAAGACACAGGCGCTCTCTCAACCGTCCACTAGGGCGAAGAAGGAGAGAGTGAAGCATGTGGGAGCGGTGGCGCCACTTTTCCCGCCAAAACGGCCAGAGAGATAACTCACGGTGAGAAGTGATTTTACGTCTGTTTTTATTGAAGGGAGCTTCAATAGAAGATACAAGTGTTCCACTAACGTTCGCAAAAGGAAGGAGACAAGCAATAAGCATGAGTCAGGATAAGGAAAAATAATGCTATTTAGGTTTGTTTTCACCAAGTAACAAAATCAGAACTACTTTCTACTGGCAGTAAAATATGTATTAGCCAATAGGATTTTGCATGACATAGCTCATAACATAACAATTTCTCTCTTGGAAGTGAGGTGGGTTTAAATATAATACTACTTACAATATTATTGCCACTTAATTCGACCACAACCTCGCTTCCGAGGAAGAAATCGTTTTGTTACAAGTAGTGTCATGCAAAATCTTTTTGGTCATCAAACATATACATATTTTACTACAACTAGTAAGTAGTTTTGATTCTTTAACTTCCGTGAAGTGATCTGAACATAAGTAAGATATCGTTCCAGGCACTCACAAAAATAACCCATTTAGCACGAACTACAGGGTCTGGTGGAAATCCGTGCATGGTGACACCATCACCCGACCCTTGGAGCAGTTGATGGCTACGCAATGATTCGGCATGTCTTTGTTGACGTCAAGAAATCAGCAAAATGACGAGCTTGTTACACACTTTATATACAACTAACTGTAAATCCTTCCTCACATAATGTCACTTCCGGTTCGCTGCAGTGCTCTGGCGACAAAGTTATGTAACCTCTCTGTGGTTTCGTTGGCGGGCGAGAGTGAAGCAGGCAACTTTTTGGCCATTTTTAATCGCTCTGTATTAATTAACCACAAGTTTTAAGAACAAATTTGGTGTTTCGCTTAAGACTAACCACACGTCTTTCATATGTAATGGTTAAAAGAGTGCAAAAGACAAAAGTTTATTTGTTCTTTAATGTGGAAAATAGGAATCAATATAAAGAAAAAAACATATTTGTTACTTTTGACTACTTGACAAACACTTTTTATGCTGAAAAAAGTGCAAGACAAAAAGGATAATTTTTGTGCAAACATACCCATTCATAGAGCGATGCTCAGGAACTTTAATGGCAAAACCTTGAAATCAAGAGATGGCAACTTGACAGGTAAGGTGTTACCCTGGAGTGAAGAACAGCCCAGGCGGTCTAGGTACTTGAATGATAATTCCTCCTGATCAGGTGCAGGCAGCATTGAATCCAAGAAGAGAACTTGGGTTGAAGAGAAAGATATACCGGGTTGAACTGTGCTCGGAGAAGTCTGTTGTAAAATCCACATCAGTAAAACCTGGTTTCTCTAAATTGCTGCGTATGGTTGCAAGAAGAGCACCTATTAATACCTGTATCTTGCAATGTAGGGCTTGCAGTAACTTGGCACATACAGTGTGTGGTCAGTGTAGCTCTTCTCCTGATTGTTAGTGGTCCTGCTTTGATAACCGTCTCTGTGGTCCGTGCAGCTCATGCTTGAACAGCTTCCCAAGCATGTGCTGTTAGCATCGATCCGGTTATCTCAGTTTTCTCTCCGGTATTCCTTAACAAGATCAGTGGGCCTGTCTAACTGTTGAACTCAAGCAGAACTCCCAGTGCTTGTGTAGTCCTTAACACTAGAGTCATGGTCCGTGACTTGCACATCTTGTAAACTTCAACTGAGGTGACAGTAGCTGTGTCTTTTGTGTGGAGGATTAAGATCATGCTTGCTGATATTGTCTTGAGATAATGATGAAATCAGATGTGAAAGACCCTTGATAAGATCCCCAAAAGGCCACCAATAAATCCTCCTCTGTTACAACCTTACAGCCAGTGGTGTTGACAGATGGGGTGTGTCCAGATCAGATAGAACTGGAGTGACGAGCTCTACCAAGTCCGATTGAATGTTTGATATTATCTGGGTATCTGCAGGCACCTTAGCTGGGGTTCTGGACAGCAGCTTTTTAGTCATCTTCTTTTCCAGGCCTTATTTACGACTAGGTCATAATTTTAAAAAGCTGCCATGACAGGGGTTGATATGCTTCGCAGCAGAAGAAGGTTCATGGAGTTTCAAACACACCCAACAATCAACGTGAGGATCCCAAGTGGACACCAAATTTCCAGATGCACAGCAATTCTTAATGGCCTAGGGGGAGGAAGATATCTACTTAGTGTCCTTAGATTTACATACGTTTACAAGAGAAGAGATAGCCAAAAATTAGAATCTTTTCAGAAATTGTTTCCGAGAACAAGTCAACATATATGTGCAAGTGAACCACAGGAAAAATTAAGAAGCTTCTTGGAGGAGATAACTCCTTCAGATAGTGACTCCTTTGGAAGACCACTAGGTAAACAGACAACACAAAACCTTGGATTCAACATTTTATTCAAACTAAACTTGTGGATTCAGAAATAAAATTCAGGAAAAAGGGCAATTAAGTGTTAGAGGGTCATATTCGTAAGAATTGTAATATGACAGGACAATGTTTGATTTCATTGTTACATGCCACTAGTTGTCGCAGGGCACATTGAGTTTTGAACCAGACTGAATGGAAAAGTTGAACACTCCCTTATTAAAAAGAGAGTTATTGCCTTTCGGAACAAAGAGATCACCCATTAGACCTCTAGTAGCCTGGACCTCAGACCAAGGTTGCACAAATGCAGCTGATACACTACAGGTACATAGGACTTACCTTAGGAATTACATCTGTCACATGAAACACATATATTTGCCTGCAATATTATAAAGCACTGTATGTTTTAATGGTAAAACCCTGAATCATCCCCATAATCCTGGTTAACTAAAAGAAATTTTTGCAAGAGACGAATGGCAAAAAACAAACTTTAATGATTTCATATCTGCAACAGATCTTTACACATGTAGCAAGCAAAAAAAAAAAGTTTTCAATGTGATGCCAGGTTGATTATTGAATTCAAACATCTAAGTAACATCTTTCTTAGTTAAGCCAAGCTAGACATTAATTATGATTGATTTGTCTCACGATTGTTACTGCAAAACACTTTACTTAACTAAAAAAAAATAATTGTAAAATTCTTTACGGAAAATATAGAAATTTGCCAAGTTTTGATGCTTTGTGTTTCACAATTTTTGTTTAGCTTGCATGTCAAAAATATCATGGGATGGTTTCCATGTTGGATTCAATAGTGCTTTTCACTTACCGGTAGTAGAACCCAACCCTAAACTCAACGACAAATTTTCTAACTTTACTAAGAATTGTCTCCATAGTGAATACCTAGAAGAATGTTCACCTTAACGGATGTTAACCTTAACACTAGTACTGATATCTTTTTGTTTTATCATTCCAGCTGCACAAAAAATGGACCGATCTCTTGGAGAGTTTTGTAACTTTGCAAAGTTAGTGAATGAGTATGTTTTCACACCAAATATAGCCAGGAATGGGCTTCACAAACTGTACCAATGTAGTGATTCAAACTGGGGTCCTTGGTGTGATAAGCGAATGCTTTACCCACTGGGCTAAACCACCGTCCCTTCTATTTGAAGAAGAATACCATTGCAAATTAAATTAAATGAATTCCACAAACCATCGCCTCTCCTGTCTGCTTTCCTCTTCAATGCAACCATCTCCTTCTTCTTGTTAGCATATACCACTTTGATAAGATGTCCTCCAATCTTCATACCCATTGTCTTGGCTAAGCTTGACTTTGCATCTTTTTCACTGAGAAATGTCACAAATCCGTACCTGAAACAACTTTTATACATTATTTTGAAAACTACAAGCAGTGGTATGCTGCTGACAATACTTAGAACATAACCGGGGGGGGGCAAAGGTTGGTGAGCTGTTTAAGGCGCCAGGTTAGTGATCAAGCGAGCTTGGAGGTGCAGGGATCGAGCCCACCTGTGACCGGGCGTAAAAACCTTGGAGTCAACTTTCAGCGTTGTCACAACCCCTAGTGTACAAGAATCCATGAATCCTTTCGTATATGACCAGATGGTGGCCACATGAATAGTGCAAACACCTAGATGCGGGTACAGCAACATGCAGTCAACTTGGACAAAGTGTGAATGGGTACCTCGAAAGGATTAGAAAGTTACATTAACTCGGTGCACCTAGTGGCAACAAGAGTTGTATGCTCCCCAGAGAGTTGAGATAATATGATGTGCCGCTGAGGTTGACATCAAATGATCGAGGGAAAAACAAAAAACACTTTGAGCATGCATGTGGGATGGACTATAGCGCGCTACATAAATACCCATATAATAACCAGGCACAGCAAAAATAAGTATCCAGATTTCCGGAAACCTACATGAAACTGGGTAATGTCAGAATCATGTAGGTTTCCACTCACGGAAACTATGATTGTTGGTTTCCGGCAGATTCCTGTTGCTGAAACTAACAAGGTTAGGTGAGGTGAGGTGAAATTGAGTTTAACGTCATGCTTGAGAATATTTCGCTCATATGACGACGTGCATGCTTGTGTATGTGGCTGTGCGGCTGCTTGTACTAGCACAGGCTTAAGCTGGTTTTATAGTGCTAGCCCACTGAGATACCATGCCGCAGTGAAGCATGAATACCCCACTCAGACACATTATACTGACTCCAAGCCGACCAGTCCTTGTTGTACCCATAATGACAAGCGCCAGGCAGGTACCAACAAGTACCATATTTTAACGTCTTTTGGTACGACGCGGCCGGGGATCGAACCCGCGACCTTCCGTTCTCAGGGCGGACGCTCTAACCACTACACCACAGAGGCGGTCAACAAGGTTAGGAAGGAAGGTCACATGACAGAATGTGGGCGTATTCAGTGGTGTCTTACCTGGAAATAGACATTTGTTATTACAGTGAAAATCCTTTGATGTTGGGGGGGCTGATGGTGCATGTTGTTTTAAGGGATTAACTTTCTGGGTTATACTAAATTCTGAACTACCTAACGAAATATGTGACATGAACTCACCCTTTCTTCATTTACATAATTAAAATCAATAAATTTGAACTCACTTAGTTTGTTTTGACAATCATTGATTGACATTGATTGATATGAGTAAGCACCAACTCAACAATTTGGGTACATAATATGCCCTTCCATACTTTCAAATTGATCACTTTCATTATGACAAACCAGCAGTTAGAGTAAAAGTTCATTCCGACTTCACGAGGTGGCAGATATCTATGTATCGATGGGTACACCTTAGAGAAATGTTGCATCATGGACGTCCTTGGGATATGTAGAGAATTTAGTGCTACCCGCATGCTTATCATCACAGATTATGTCCATTGTTCTCCAAGTGCGGTCAACCTGAAAATCCTTGCGTGCAGCCCTTATTGTTGTTACCAACATCACAAATGTCTACTTCACGGTAATAAACCTCTTCAGTATATGTTAGCAACTCTACAAACATATACCCTACCTTTTGACGGGACCCTTTTGAGAAATCTGTTGTGCAAGATAAAAGTAATAAATCAGTGACCATGTTAGTGGTTAATCCTTTCATCTGTGTTTCGTGTTTTTAACTCAGCTGATAATTCCTTTTGCTGCACCTCCATGCATATATTACACAACATGTAATACATAAGACCTTCATTTATAATGTTGAATATTTAGGGCAGACATGAGAAATGGTAAATGGGAATCTTTGTCGGGTAATCTGAGTGGTGTTACCACTAATCAGTAATCACTGTATTGCATGCACTTTTAATTGCCTGAAAAATCATAGGGGTCGACGCTGTTTGAGGATATGAATAGAACTTCATTGTTGCATAAGAAATACAGCATTTGTTGTGTACTAAATTTAAAAAAGTGTATATCAAATCATGTGACGTAATGTACGAAATGTGATTGGTCAATGCTTCGTCAGTCATTCTGAATAATTTGTGTGTTCTTTGTATCTCGTCCCATTATAATAATATGTAGGCTTAGGAATTGTCGCGAAAATGTACAATCGTATCAGATTGTTAAAAGCACATGGTGACTGTCAAATGTGAAAATGGCCAGTAAAAAGCAGACAATGCTTTCTACTTTCTTCGGTGGTAAAAGAAAGGTTTGTGAATCGGAAGACGATCAAAATGAACTGAGAACAGATGTACAAACCAGTAAGCGACACAAAAAAAGGGGAAAGCCTCTGTTCAAGTGGGAACTCTAAAGCTAAAACTTGCAATACTAAAATACGCAAATTTCATTCTGAGTGGCTGACAGAGTTCAAATGGCTTCGTTACGAGGATGACAGTGGAAGTGTTTTAATGTTCTGTAAAATATGCGAACATGCAGCAAAAGTGAATGGATTCACCAAAGGATGTATAAATTTGAAAAAGTCTGCATTAAAAGAACATCGTGACAGTGCATCCCATCATCAACCTGTAACAACAAGTTTTCATCAAAATGCAATGACTACGCATCTAAACGCTGCAACTGAGAAATCTGATGCAAAGTTAACAGCTATGATGAGAACTGTATTATACATGGCACAAGAAAATTTGGCGACTGTTAAATTTTCTGGATTGATCGAGTTACAGAAAAACAATGGCTGTTCAAGTTTGACTGGTGATGTCTACACACATTCCGATAGCATTGGAGAAATGGAAGATGTGTTGCTAAAAAGTATGGTGAATGGAATGAAAGACAAAATTTCTAAAAGTGAGTTCGTGGGAATCATCATTGATGAGATTGTAAATGTGACAGTTGAAAAAAAACTTATAATATTTGTGAAAATTTTGAACGCAAATGGGCCGCCAACAGAAATAACAGTGCAGCTGTTAATATTCAGAAGAAGATCCAAACGTATTCGTTCATTGGCACCACTTACATGCTCTCGGATGTCTTGTACTACATGGACAAGTTGATAAAGATATTTCAGAAAGAAAATCTCAACATTGGCATGGTTATGCCAATAGTAAATTCGACTTGCACTTCACTGATGGAGTTGATAACAACTCCAGGCGGAAGTATTTCACAGAAAATCTCCAGAAAGGATATTTCAGGGGCATGAAACTCAGGTACGCAGATGCTGGTTCTATTCGTGCATTTCAAAACATGAGAAAAGTATTTATTGAAGAACTATGCAGTAATCTACACGCTAGATATTCCGCTGGGTATTTTTTTTTACTGGCCACAGTGTCCGGTGATCATTTCATTATCCGGTCCTGTACGCAATCTGGCGGTCACAATTTATATAAGAGTTATGCAATGATACTTTAATTCAATAAAGATAATAAAACCATACCTTTTAGAGTTTTCTGTTTTTATTTCGGAAAATGACTCTTGCCTATTCGATGTTCTTTTCTCCTGCGTCCATGTTTAATGTCATGAGAGTATTCAACCGATCCTGTGATAGTCCATTTCATCAGGCATTGTGAACCAGACTTTGGAGGCTGAACCCCCCTCTCTGCAGCCACGCTGCTCACTGGGATTGTCATGGCAATCTTTGCCCACACAGCAAAGTCTGGGTAAATGTCAACAAACTCCATAATAATGGCACGACAATTTGTTTCCAGTGAAGTGGTGCCGAGACCACGGACAGTTGTTTTGTAATGGCTGAAGTCTTTCCCAGCACGGTCGCCATTGACAACGCCTGTGACATCATTTTCCTCTTGTCCATTCACAGGGCTGAACTGAGTTATCAACACATCAAGGGAATCCCGAGCGCATGCGACAATGTCGTCTTGTGATTCAGGAAAACGAATGGGGTTCAGAACCTTATCAAGGCATGTCAAATCATGTAAACTCTCCTCTGGAAATCTAGCGTGTAGATTACTGCATAGTTCTTCAATAAATACTTTTCTCATATTTTGAAATGCAAGAATAGAACCAGCATCTGCGTACTTGAGTTTCACGGCCCTGAAATCTCCTTTCTGGAGATTTTCTGTGAAATACTTCTCACTTTCGCCTGGAGTTGTTATCAACTCCATCAGTGAAGTGCAAGTCGAATTTACTATTGGCATAACCATGCCAATGTTGAGATTTTCTTTCTGAAATATCTTTATCAACTTGTCCATGTAGTACAAGACATCCGAGAGCATGTAAGTGGTGCCAATGAACGAATACGTTTGGATCTTCTTCTGAATATTAACAGCTGCACTGTTATTTCTGTTGGCGGCCTCCTCTTCAATTTCCATAACGAGGGCTGGCCAATTGTTTTTTGCACTTTTGACGGCGTTTCCCACAGACAACCATCTGACACTGTATGGTTGTTTTAAACTTGAAAAGTCTGAATCCTCCAAAACTTGCGATGATTCGCGTAACTGGTTATACCGAGTTGCTGAATATTCGTAGAGTTTATAAATGTCATTCAGTGTCCGTCGATATTCTGCTACTGTTTTAGATACTTTTGCAGCGTCTGCAGACGCCAGTGCCACCCTATGTGAAATACAATGCACGTGGATCATGTAAGGGGAACCCCCCTTCATTCATTCTAAGACCAACACCGCTTCTCTCCCCCGTCATAACGGCTGCACCGTCTGAACCCAGTCCAATAACCTTTTCAAGAGGAATATTCCATTCTGCAAGTACTTCGTGCACTTTATTTGTCACGCATTCTGCTGTACCACTGTGAACGGAGTAGTTTCCAATAAATAGTGTTTCTGGCAGCCCATTTGCGTTCAAAATTTTCACAAATATTATAAGTTTTTTTTCAACTGTCACATTTAGTCTCATCAATGATGATTCCCACGAACTCACTTTTAGAAATTTTGTCTTTCATTCCATTCACCATACTTTTTAGCAACACATCTTCCATTTCTCCAATGCTATCGGAATGTGTGTAGACATCACCAGTCAAACTTGAACAGCCATTGTTTTTCTGTAACTCGATCAATCCAGAAAATTTAACAGTCGCCAAATTTTCTTGTGCCATGTATAATACAGTTCTCATCATAGCTGTTAACTTTGCATCAGATTTCTCAGTTGCAGCGTTTAGATGCGTAGTCATTGCATTTTGATGAAAACTTATTGTTACAGGTTGATGATGGGATGCACTGTCACGATGTTCTCTTAATGCAGACTTTTTCAAATTTATACATCCTTTGGTGAATCCATTCACTTTTGCTGCATGTTCGCATATTTTACAGAACATTAAAACACTTCCACTGTCATCCTCGTAACGAAGCCATTTGAACTCTGTCAGCCACTCAGAATGAAATTTGCGTATTTTAGTATTGCAAGTTTTAGCTTTAGAGTTCCCACTTGAACAGAGGCTTTCCCCTTTTTTGTGTCACTTACTGGTTTGTACATCTGTTCTCAGTTCATTTTGATCGTCTTCCGATTCACAAACCTTTCTTTTACCACCGAAGAAAGTAGAAAGCATTGTCTGCTTTTTACTGGCCATTTTCACGTTTGACAGTCACCATGTGCTTTTAACAATCTGATACGATCATACATTTTCCCGACAATTCATAAGCCTACATATTATTATAATGGGACGAGATACAAAGAACACACAAATTATTCAGAATGACTGACGAAACATTGACCAATCACATTTCGTACATTACGTCACGTGATTTGGTTTGTTTACGAGACGAAATCGTAAGTTCTCGAAACTATATTTAGATAGAAGTTATTCTTGAACGACTTGACTTCTCGTTGACATTGATATACATGGCATGACTTGTATTATACATTTTATGATTTTATGTTTACCGGACATGAGGACTGGCAGCATTTGAATTTATCGGAATCACTATCTTATAGGTTTTCCCTTCAAACAGAATTGTTTCACTATCTTTTTTATGGGGTGTGTGTGTGTGCGAGTTCCTTACCCATTCTACCCATCTTTTGCGATTGTCGATAATGCGAATTCAAAGTTGCGAGGCGATTCCCCGATAAAATGAAATTGCCATTTTTCCGAATACTTTTTGCACGACTCTGTATCTGTGTTCTTCCTACTTCAAAGGCCATATTGACTGGCAGGGCCTTAGTTTTGCAGTGAACCATGCATTTTTTCTGATCTGTAGAAATGTGACAGGAGCATTTGTGAGGGTATTGCTGTAAGAATACATACGATGGTCTGTCCGTCTTGGAGCTGATGACATCCACATTCACTGATTTTGGGAAGGCCTCCTCTATATCAGCTCGACTCACTTTGGGTCCTAAACCAGACAAATACAGCTTCTTCATGTCCAAGTCAGGTCCTGTAAATGATCAGATTACATATTGGCAACATATTTACTAGATATTGATTACATACTGACTACATGTGTTTGTAGTTCGTTGAATCCATTATCACTGTTCCTCCGCCTTTGTCAGCTTCTTTTATTATGATGTTCGGATCATTGGCCAAAGAGTTTAAAGAATCTCTCTGTTTGCTGGTTATATTAGAGTGTTTCTTGCTTGCGTTAGGAATTATTGGATAACTGTTTATTTGAACTACAAACACATGGCAATGGACTTACTCCTGGACAAAGGTACTTATGTCCCATGCAGTGAAAAAGAGTCAGACAGTGTACTTCGGAAATTAAAGAACCTAACCAGTCAGTACTCAGAAGAGCTGACATCCAAGGAATTAAATTATATAACACATTTTGACTGCAAATCGAGCAATTTCTATGGCTTACCCAAAATTCATAAAAGTAAGGAGATCATAAGACAATGTAAAAATCCTAAAAGCAGCTATGTTGAGATGGAACACCCGGGAGATTTGAAACTCCGACCTATAATTGCAGGCCCAGCGTGTGCTACACATAGACTAAGTAATTTCATTGATATTTTATTGAAACCAATCTCATCAAATGTTAAAAGTTTTACTCGTGACACCATGCATTTCCTTTCCTCTTTACCACAAAACGTTAATGAAACAAGCAAACTTGTAACTTTTGATGTAAAAAATTTGTATTCAAATATCCCACATAGCCTAGGAATTAAAGCGTTGGATTATTGGTTAAACCGTTGTGAAGAACACATACCTGAGCAAATTTCAAAATCATTTGAATTCATCTTAAAAAACAATATTTTCCTTTTTGACGATAAGTACTATAAACAGATTAAAGGAACAGCCATGGGAACCAAAATGGCGCCGACTTATGCGACGCTTGTCTTAGGATATCTGGAGGAAAAGTTCAAGCATAAAATCAGTCAAATTCTTGGAGAGGATGTTGCCCATTATTTCATGGAAAATTGGAAAAGATTTCTAGACGACTGCTTCATAATTTGGCCATTTTCTGAGGAGAAACTAAATACATTTTACCAACTATTAAATAGCATGGACGAAAATCTTGTTTTCACTATGGAGGCAGATGAAACTAAAACAGCTTTCTTAGACACAATGGTCATCAAATCGGGCGGAAATTGGACACAGATATCTTCTACAAACCTACAGATACTGAAACAATATTTTAACTTCAAATCTTGTCATCCGAGCCACACCAAAAGAAGTCTTCCATATAACCTGGCACGAAGAATATGTACAATAGTTTCAAACCAAGACACCCGCAATCAAAGACTGAATGAACTATGACGTTTTTACTATTACGGGAATATCCAAAATCTCTTGTTGAAGACGGAATATATAAAGCTTTACAGCTTAATAGAGACGATCTTTTGACAGGAACGATGAAACAAACCAATGAGGAAAAAGTAATTGCTTTTGTATCTACTTATAATCCGTTGAACCCAAATGTGTTCCAGAACATAAAAACAAATATGTGCATCTTAGAACAAGATGAAAAACTGAAATCAATGCTGAAATCTAGAAAAATAATAAATAGCAAAAGACAAAATCAGAATCTTAAAAAGATACTAACAAAAGCCAAATTTATTTCAAAGAAACAGAATTTACCAAATCCTACTGTGTCTAGATGCAACAGAGGTAACTGTGGAACGCGGTGTCGACATATTGTTGAAGGACACTCTGTAACTTTCACGAGACACGGAGAATTCTATGTAAAACAGAATTTTGACTGCTCTTGCAAAAACATAATATATGTCATAACATGCACAGGCTGTAATGAACAGTATATTGGTCAATCAGAAAATTTAAGAGCCTGGGTTCGTGTCCACAAACAACAAATGAAGTGCCCTGAAACCCGATGTATCCCACTGAGTGAACATCTAGATGTCTGTGCGAAAGGAAACGATGTTAAATTTACAATATTTCCTTTTTATCAAGTTCAAAATTCGGACAAAGTAAAACGAATTTTAAAAGAACACTACTTCATAGACAAGTACAAACCAATGTTAAACCATTGCAAGCTGTGACCTTGTCGCTCTAGAATGTTGTCCCTATTATGACGTCACAATATATATGTAATGACGTCATACTGTAACCGCTACAATCTCCCTGAAGAGTAAAGAACGAAACATGTTGGAGAAAACGGCATTCTGTTTTTATTTATCTATGCAATATTTATGACTGAACACCTGTATTACTTTGGACATTTTGTGCGTATATATATATATATATATATATACATATATATATACACAGTCTTTGACAACAATGGACAGTCAATGACTCTACAATGGACAGATAGAGAAACAATAACACTTCTTTCACCAGTTGATGTGATGGCAGGCACGGCCAAGGTGGATGACGGATTAACACTATAAATGTCATATACAGTGATTAATTGGCTGACAAGTCAATGTACAATGCAGTAGTGACAAGGATTTACAGTAGTGATTAAGAATACAGATTAACGTGTTAAAAATTATTACAATAAAGTCTCATATGTCTTGACTACATAGTTTTTGGACTTTTTAAATATTTGGACAATGGCTGTCCTGAATTACTCTAAAACGAGAAATGTTCCCGCCTTTAAAATTTTGCGACCTTGATACCTCATCTGGTTTTGCGACGTGTTATTTTTACGAGAGGCACCCATCTATGCAAAAATAACAACTCAAACTGCCACTACGCCAGAAATCATTCGTCATCTTTGATGTTTTCGCTGAGCACCGATGCGAGTCATTCCTCAACTTGTTAAAACTATCATCAAACACCATCACTACAACAGTACTACAAAAACGAAAGAGAAGGGTAATACCTACACTCTCAGAAGAACAAATGAAAATACACAAAAGTCAGTTTATTATCAATAATAACAAACTCATGGGATACAAAACAGTCGAGCTGGCAAACCACACGTCTTGTGAGGCGTGCGAAAAGCGATAATCTGAGTCATAAGCAATAAGTGCAGGAAGTAAGTAGTGCAGGATTAGTTAAAAATTATATTTTTTAGTGGGTGACTGTTAATCATTTAAATTGTTGAAAACTGGGGAAAGCAGTAATTTTGACATGTTCATCCTTACATCCACATCAGAATTATTGTACAGTGATAATGCTGTTTTAATCTAAGAATTTACACCATTACAAACAGGTGAAGATCATATGCTGTGGACAATGACTGCTCCTAGCAATACATCTATAGCACTGTTAAGCCACCATCTGATGAATCAACATAACATAACTTGTTGTGTTTTGATGAAATCAAGGCATACATAGATGACATGATGCAGAACACCAACATGCTGATCAAAATGTTAACCATGCTTAACACTGGTTTATAATATTACATATTTAGGCTAGTCAAACTACAGTTTGACCTCAAACTAATTGCAACAGAAACAAATCCAACTGATTCGTAATCTTTATGCGTCTATTAACCATCCACAAAAAATCGGACAACCAAAAAATTCGGGAACATATTGAATTTTGTGATGAAAAATAGAAAATCCTATCGTAGATACTAGAGCAAATATGGCACACCGTAGACCAGAAGCATTACAAAGGGAGATAATACAGTTGAAGAATGTTGTTTTCATAATCTTTGTACATGCGAGTTTTCTGTTTGTTTGTGACCAAAAACACCCATTGTCCTTACATCAAAAGGTCACACTCTATTAATTTCAACATTAAGCCATCTAAAACAGGAGTACATTTATCCCAACTACAACATGCCGACTCATTCATTCACGCGAGGTAGTTTGCATTCACTTCGCTATGCACACTTATAACAAACTTATCACTACAACTCTGTAGCAATGAACTGTGTGTAGTAAATAGCAGCATATGTGATTTTGATGATAATTTTCAATAAATGATTGGAAGTTTCAGTCAACAATAACATTATTTCAACTGTAAACTTGGGTACCATCTGTCAAAATGAAAAAAGTATGGAACCCCTTTTTAGCCAAAATGTTATTGTTGCATTAGCGTAATATAGGCATATAAAAGTTCACACTGAAACTATTCTGACCTTTTTAATAAAGTTTCTGGTTAATTTTTTCATATAAATTTGTGTTTACATTTGTCTGTTTGTTTTCATTTTAATTGTTTTGAATTATATCAGTTTGGAGCTAATGTGAGGAGACATGGATTTGTGGTGAGTTTTTGTTTGTTTTGTTTTTTAAATTGAAATCTTTAGTTCAAATTAATTTCCCAATCACATTTTCTCCTTTATTTTCAGTTTCAATTATCAATTTCTTTATGGAAATTTTTAAAGTACTGAAGTTTACTAAGTTATTAAGTTACTTCCAAATGCTCAAATTGTGTTTTTTATTTCCACAGATGTCAATGGAGACCTGCACAATATGTGGAGATTCACTCAGAGATGGAAGACCTGTTACACAGTTGAGAGAGGACAATTAACAGATTTAGTCAGTTAAGGAATGACACAATTACCACTCTACCTGGCCAAAAACTACATCAATGCTTCCACCAAAATTTTGTGAATGTAAAAACTTTGCAACCAGCTGGTAAATTATCTTCTCATGAAAACATGCCAACTTTACACTCACATACTGGTGGCTTCAATTGTAAGGAAAACTGTTTGTTTTTTGGAAAGTTTGCAAAAGTTAATAAGAGGAAACGAGGAAATGATGTACATGTATATCCAGTTTCTACAACAGATTTTGAAAAATCAGTAGTTACTGTCTGCGAAAGAAGAAATGATGACTGGTCCAAACATGTTATGAACAGCCTTGAGACTCTATTGGTAGACTTACCAGCAGTTGATGCTGTGTACCATCAAAAATGCAGTGTTAATTTTCGCAAAGGAAGACAAATGCCAAATGAGACTGACACAACATGCCATGGGAAATCAACACCTGGCCGTACGAAGAAAAAGAAAGGAATTGATTCAGGGCGCCCAAAAAGTTCTAAATGTGAAGATGCCTTCTTATTAGCAATGAAACA